GCCAGCCTGGGCTACCAAGTGAGCTCCAGGAAAGGCGCAAACTACACAGAGAAACCCTGTCTCAAAAAACCAAAAAAAAAATAAAAATAAAAATAAAAAAATAAAAAAATGAAAAAAAATCGTTTTTTGCTGGGTGGTGGTGGCACAGCCTTTAATCCCAGCACTTGGGAGGCAGAGGCAGGTGGATCTCTGTGAGTTTGAGACCAGCCTGGTCTGCATAGTGAGATCCACGACAGGCACCAAAACTACACAGAGAAACCCTGTCTTAAAAAACAAACAAACAAAAAATCAGTGTTTTAAACTTTTCAAAAAACATGTCGTTATTGTTGCTACTGTGATAAACACCACAACCAAAAGCAATTGGGGAGGGAAGAGTTGATTTCATCTTACAGTTAACAGTCTGTCATGGATGGACAGACGCCAGGGCAGGAACGCTACAGGAACATGAAGCAGGGACCATGGAGGAATGATGTCTACTGGCTTTTCCTAGGCTTTCGTTTATCCACCTTTCTGTAGAGCCCAGGCTCACCTGCCCAGGGGTAGCGCTGCCCTGGGTGGGCTGCCTCTTGTACATTAACTGCCAATCAAGACAGTGCCTCACAGAGGAGCCCACAGGCTAATAATCCACCGGCAATCATTCAGTTAAGGTTCCCGCTTTCCAGAGGTGTCAGGTTGATAACACGACTATCCAGGACAGGTCATAATTCTTTAAAGAAGTTACCTTTAATTACAGTTGAGAAATAAAATGCCTGCATGTTTAAATTTTCCTCACATTTACCTTTTTCTTTTGTTTAATAAAGTGATGTTTATAGTTGTGTGCATAGTGGGGGTCTATAAGAAGAAAGCGTGTTTTCAGACTGTTAAAAATGATTTAACAGGGGCTAGAGTGATAAAGAGCACATACTGCTCTCACAGAAGACCCAAGTTTGATTCCCAGCACCCATGTCAGGCGCCTCACAACCACCTGTTAACTCCAGCTCCAGGGGCATCCAGTGCCTCTGACCTTCGAGGGAAACTGCACTCACATGCATGTATTCACACGTACACACTCATGCACACACGCACACACACACACTTAAAAATTATAAAAACATCTTTAAATGATGTAACAATTTTTGTGAATCATTTCAGACATTTTTGGCTGTGGATACCCATTGTGAGTCCCCTACTCACTAATGCATATGCATACATTATCACATTCTAAACATACAAGCATAGACTCTTTAGCTTTGGCATTTTTGTCTCACATGTAGTATTTGTTTGACATGTTAAATTGTGCCTGTGAATGTGGAAAGCAATCCTAACTGTATTCGGCCACAATGCCTAATTTGCAGTAACTATTGCTGCTTTAAATTTTTTTTTGTTTTGTTTTGTTTTTGTATTTTGAGAAAAAGTCTTACCTTGTAATTCTGGCTGGCCTAGAACTCTATATATGAACTCACAAAGACCTGCCTGCCTTTGCCTACTGAATGCTGGGATGAAAGGTGTGTGCCACTATGCCTGGCTGAGACCTTTTTTTCCTTGGTTTTTCAAGACTGGGTTTTTCTGTGTTTCCATGGCTGTCCTGGAACTCACTCTGTAGCCCAGGCTGGCCTCGAGCTCACAGAGATCCACCTGCCTCTGCCTCCCTAGTGCTGAGATAAAGATGTGCGCCACCACTCCCTGCTGAGTTGCTGGGATTTTTAAAATACACATATTTCACCCGGCAGTGGTGGCGCACGCCTTTAATCCCAGCACTCGAGAGGCAGAGGCAGGTGGATCACTGTGAGTTCGAGGATAGTCAGGGCTACACAGAGAAACCCTATCTCAAAAAACAAAACAAAACAAAACAACCCAAAATTTTATTTCCTGTGTGTGTGTGTGTGTGTGTGTGTGTGTGTGTGTGTGTGTGAATGCCGTCAAGTGAGAGAGCCTGTTGTGTGCACTGTGTGCCCACCGACCCATCTCTTATTTCAGTGAGTCGTTGCTTTGTATGCACTTGACATTTGGGGATGAAGATTGTGTGTCTTCCCAACAGGAAGTATAATCAGCCAAGCTAAGCAGGACGTGGTTGTGCCTATCTGTAATCCCAGCACTTAGGAGGTGGACACACACACACACACACACATACACACACACACACACACACACACACACACACACGCATGCACACATGCACACACTAATTAAGACAAGACAGACAAACAAAAAGCTAGTGTGACGGCAAATGCCTGTAACACCAGCATTTTGGAGGTTGGAGGCAGGAGAATCAGGAGTTCAGGGTTATCTTTGGCTGCTACGTATAGAGTTGTAGGCCAACCTGGGCTTCATAAGACACTGTCTCAAAATAATAAAATAAATTGACCAGCCTAATGTTACAACTGTGTTGAGGCCAAATGTAAACTAAAAGCCTTAATTGAAGTAGCACAGTCTTAACATAATTTAACATTACTAGTTCAATCATTTTGGATTACCCCACATACAAACCAAAAACAACAAACAAAAACAGCCACAGTGGAAACCCCAAAGCACGATGCTGGGACAGAGGCTCAGTGAGTCAGTGCTGGTGTGTGTGGCCTTCTCCATCTGGATGTGCAGGAGACTGTGATGAGTGCTGGGGGGGAAGGATGCAGGCGCTGAGGTGGGATGGATGGTTGTGGGCTGCTGAAAGAGGTTTGGAGTGGCCATCCCAGTGATCCCAGGGGGTCCCCGGACACTTGTGTGGAGGGTGGAATGTGGCTGGGGGAGCAACCTAAGGGAGATGAAATCTAGGGATTTTGGTAACAACTCACAGGAGGAAAAGTGGTGAAACGCAGAGTGATGGTGTGGGAGGGGAGAGGGGAATGTCTCAGGAGAAGGAAGGAATAATTAGTTCTTTCTGCTTTGAGATCAGGACCCATGCAGTGCGTACTCAGCAATCAGATGAGAGGGTCCATGGGAATTGTTTTTTCTTTTGGCTTAAAAAAATAATAATGTTGAATTGGAAAGATGTTTCAGTGGTTAAGAGCACTTGATGTTCTTCTGAATAGTGTTCCTAGTAACAACATAGAGAAGCTCATGATTGCCTGTAACTCCAGCTCCAAGGGATCCATTGCCTTCTGGCTTTTTCAGGCACCCACATTGATGTGGCATGCTTTCACACAGACACGTATTTCTTTTAAATGTTAATAATTATTTATTTATTTTTGAGATAGGCCTTCATGCATCTCAAGTTGGCCTTAGACTTATTGTAACTAAGGATGACCTTGAACTTCTGACCCTCCTGCCTCCATTTTTTCTAAGTGCTGTGATTACCGGCTTGCACCAGTGTGAACAGGTTAAGCGGTGCTGTGGTGCCGGGGCTTTGTATGCTGTAGGCGAGACTATGACTACTCGCCAGTCCCCATTTCTTTTTCTTTTTTTGGGTTTTTGAGATAGGGTCTCACTTAGTAACCCCAGTTTGCTTTGAGCTTATAGTAGTCTTCCTGCCTCAGCCTCTGAAATATGTATATTTTAAAATAATAGGCATGAGCCTCCATACCTGGCATTTATAGGAATCATGAGCTCAGAGATACAGACCGTGTGATGCCTAGTCATTGTAACTTACATTCTGAGGGGTGCTATTGCAAGGAAAGCCTGAATCCTGGGGACAGAATCAGCCCTGGATGCAACCCTCAAGCCCTCAATGTTGGGAAAACAGCCCTTGGAGGAGATGTAGGCAAGAAGCAAAGCAAGGATGGTAGGACAGGGACCGTTCCAGGGGACAGAGGGAAACCTAAGCCTCCATGCAGTAAAACAAAGTTTCAGGGTGGTCACCAAACCCAGAAAAGGCTTAAGTGTGAGAGAAAGTGGAAATGCTGACTCGGTCAGTGTAGATGGCCTTTTGTGGGCTTGGGCTAAAGGCCACATCTGCAGGAGGATAGGGACATCTTTATCTTGAGAAAGGCAGCTGAGAAGGATCTAAGAGAGAGTGTTGTTCCTGCTGCTGCTGGACCTAGTGATGGGTCTAGGAGGCCACGGTCCATGCCGTGGATGGCTTCACCTGGCAGGGCCTGGTTGCCAGCCTCACCGCCTCTTGGCCCTGTGCTTCCAAACCCTCCAACTGTCAAAGAAGATCATGTTGTGGTCTTGACTGGCAGGGGAAACTTCTTCCTTGGGAGGCTGGGTCTCTGGGTGGGGCGGCCACTGTCACTTATCATCAAAGGCCAAATGTCCGCCGAGAGTCAGTGCCTAGAGCTGGAGATTTAGCAACGGACACTAAATCCAGACTCATTCCCAAAGAGCAGACAGACTTCGGATCCTCATTGGCTCTTCCTTTCTTGAGATTTTTACCCCATTGAGCAATCCTGGATGGGCCAGCACCCCTGGGGCCTGGGAGAAGCCAAGGGCATCTCAGGAAGATGGGGAAATGATTTCTTCATCTGACATGCCAGGCCACTTCACTCACTGCCCATAGCCTCGTGAGGCAACAAGACTCTGAAGCAAGCCCCCGCCCACACCCTGGCAGGCAGCCAGTGCAGGAAGGGTCAGGAGGACTTCTGCTTGGGCTTCTGCATCAGGTTCAGGCTGAGCATAAAGGAGGCCCAAGTGGCCTGGAGGAGGCAGTCTTGGGGACCATGCAAACCCAGAGGGACAACCCTCCCCTGCGATGGCCACTCTCACTGCTCCTGCTGCTGGGTCTGGTGCTGCCGTTAGCCGTTAGCCGTCTCCCAGACCCGCGGCTACAGGGAGGCCGTGCTGCGTGCTGTGGACGAGTTCAACCGGCAGTCCTCAGACACCAGTCTCTACCGCCTCCTGGACCTGGATTCGCAGCCCCAAGGGGTGAGGTTGCAGAAGAGCAGGCCTCCTCCTCCCCTTTTCGTGGGTCTCTCCGGTTCTCAGGACGCTCCCTAGAGCTGCCTCCTTCCAGATTGACAGCTTTCAGCTTTGGAATACCTGCTGTGGCAGAGTGCTCTCAACCCCATTCTAGTGATGCATGGGGGCCTCCACTCCAGGGACAGGGTGGAATCGTTGACCCCAGGAATTGGCTTCCTTCGCTCTAAGTTTTTTTTTTCCATATCCGAAGAAGGATTGTGCCTAGCCTTGAGGTCCCTAAGGATGTGCCCGATTCCCTCCCTGTTTCCAGAAGGGGGTGGGGTGGGGACGTGCTCTTCATTTCAGCTGGCTGGGGGCTGTTCCTTCTCACTGTATGTGCGGGGAGGAAGGAAGGGGCTCGTTTTCTCCTTCCCTCTGTACCCCAGCACTGGGTCCTGCCTCAGCGCCTAGCATGTAATGTTGGAAGGCCGCTCTGTTAGTGGCTGTCAGGAAGAGTGACCTTGAAGCTGAGAAGGGGCCTGAGACTAGTCTCCCTACTTTTTCCCATGACCAGGATGAGGACCCAGATACCCCACAGTATGTGAGGTTCAGAGTGAAGGAGACAGTGTGTGACAAGGCATTGCAGCAGCTACCTGAGCAATGTGACTTCAAGGAAAATGGGGTAAGCCAGAGGGCTGGGGTGACTGGTGGGTGCCTCCTGGGGAACTAAACAAGGAGTCCCGAGGGAATCTTTCCATCTAGTGGGCTAGGGCTTGGGGGTTATGGCAAATGGGTTCTAGTTTGACCTTGAGCTTTCTCTTCCCAGCTGGTGAAGCAGTGTGTGGGGACAGTCACCCTGAGCCAGGACACAGATTCTTTTGACATCAACTGTAGAGGGGTGAGTGGGATGCAGGAATGATGTGGGGATGGGACGTGGTTACCTATGGACCAGGTACTCCCTGTTCCTGCCCACCCCCTTGGTCCTCCCTAGTGCCTGAACTTCCGCTCCACCACAGGCTCTGTTGTTATCCTTCAGAGCAGTGACTCCAAGCTTGGCTCTTGGGAGGCCGAGGAAAGGAGGCTCTCTACGGGTTCTAGGCCAGCCTTACCTACATAATGAGTTCCAGGCCAGACATGGGTACATGTGAAGGCTTATCTCAAAAAAAAAAAAAAAAAAAAAAAAAAAAAAGGTTTTTTTTTAATAAAAAAAAAAAAAAAAAAAAAAAAGGTTTTTTTTTAGCTGGAACTTGTTAGGAATGAAGACTCTCAGGCCTCACTGAGTCTTAATCAGACTCAGGCTGAGGACCTCACCACGTGGGTGTGAGCATGCCCTACTGAGTCCTGCTAATGCTCACAGCATCCTCCAGGGTACACTCTCAGACCCCAGGGAGCCTCTTGCCATTCCAAGGCCCAAGTGTTCTCATCTTTTATTGGGGTTAGGGATCCAACTACATGTCCCAAAGGCTGAACTAGGGCCCAGAGGCTCTGGGAGTATCCCTGAGTGTGGTCCTGATGGGGAGGACCTTGGGTGCCCTGGAACCAGCCTCACAAGGAACCCATCTCTTCCTGGTACACAGCCTGGGACACAGCCCCAGAAGTTTAAGAAAATTGCCAAGATCGCTGGACTCCTCCGAAAAGGTGGGCAGAAGATTGGTGAAAAGATTAAGAAGATTGGCCAGAAAATTGCAGATTTTTTTGGGAAAACTGCACCTGAGGTGGAAAACTAGGCCTGTCTTGGCCTGTTTCTAGATTCCAAAAATAATAAATTTGGTGAAGGAAACTTCTCAGTGGCTTTCGTCTTCTTTTAGTCTTTAACCCTGGAGGCTCTCTGAGCACGTGTGTG